CTGAGGATACGTAGTACACTAGTTTTTATTTTATAATTCTTCAGTTCTGATGTGCAAACTTGATCTTTGTCATTGGATGTGGTGTGAATAATCTTAGTTTTAATGAGTCATTTTCACTAACTTTCAAATGACATCTGTATTCTGCCTTGTGTATATATAAGTTCTCAGCTGTTCAGGGTACACTCTTGCTGACCTCTTGAAGTGTTAACGTACACTTGAGTAGGCTGGATCTTCCTTGGGTATGCTGAAGATTGATACATTCCAGGCCTTGACAGCTGCAGTGTTTTTCTGTGCCAACTTCAGACAGTCTAAGCAGACCTTTTTCGAAAGAAATTGTTTGGCTCCCTAGACCATTTGGGGAACAGCCTTACCAAGCCCGTTAATTGAGCCAAGAGCTTAAAAAGGCTGTTTAAACTTCTTTTCATTTTAAAACTGTAATATTTCCTGGCTAATACTAATTCTGACAGACAAAATGCATAATTAGTTATAGATTTAGATGAAACAGTTTTAGTTATTAAAATATGTGGCATTTTAAAAAGCATAAAGTCTCATTTTATGGTAACTTACCGTATCTTACTGATGTTTTATTGTTATAAAGAGAAATTTTGTACAGCTCCATGTAAACATTCTTTTTATGTAATGGGGTTCATAGGTTTCTAACTGCAGATGATGTGTCTTCATGTTGGGGTTTTTTTTTTTTTTTTTGTTAATTTACTGGTAACTTGTATTTGAAGATTAATTTGTGTCCTTATTTTTTTGGCAGTTGTCCACTTTGGCAGAACACTGCTTTGTTTTTTGTGCATTTACAGAAATATAAATATGTAATGAAAAGTATTTCGTCGGTGTAGATTAGAATATCTGTTGATATAATTACAGCATTGCTTTATAGTCCTGTGTGTGCTCATTCACGGGCTGCAGTAGCAACTTTAAATACCAGTTCCTGCCATCATAAAGAATAATCAGAACTTATTGAAATAGGGTTGTTTTGCAGTTCTGGAAATTCCAGTGATTTTTCACTCATTTCCAGATGACTTGGGAATGGGGAATGTGTTGTGTGTTTCTCTTTTTTTCTTTTTTTTTTTTTTTTTTTTTTTTTTTTAATGGACACTACTTAGTCTGTTCTGTTTAACTGTTTGTTGGAAATTTATTTAGTGCACACTGCTGACGTTCAATATTTCTTATGGCAAACAGCTTTTTTAATTTGCAAGTTAGGATGGCTTTTTCATTCCAACTTCATCTACTGTTCTTTCAGTACAGACAGAAATGTTCCAGAACTTAGTTATGTAAGAAGTGGCAATTTCACTGATATGAGTACAACTTGGAGTTGATTTTACTCTTCCTTGAACGACTTCAAAAGTAGTCTGTTTGGGGAATAGGTGCTTTGAGGTTAATCTGAACTGCTTATTCAATTAAAAGAGATCTATTGTGCCTGAGTGTGTTCTCGTTAGGAAGACCAATGTTCATTGAAACTTCGTATTTTATCTATTATCACAAGGTCAATTTCTGTGAGACTTGGCGAAGTTTAGGTAGAAACAAGTTTGTCAGAGGTGCAATACTTGGCAATGCTGTGTACTCAGCAAAAATTATAGGAGGTTCCAAGTGTCTCAGCTTTTCTAATAAATAAATAAGTAAGCAGAAAACAGACAGCTACTTATATGGTCTTGTATAGAGTACAGTAAAGGGAAAAGGTAAGGAAGCATGATGGTAAGCAAATCCAAATCCTTAAACTGGCAAACAAAACTGAACGGAACAAAGCTAGTGAGCTCGTAAATCAGCATCAGAAACTTACTTTGTCTGAAGATTTTTGAGCTTTTGCAGGTGAAATACTGTTGACAGTATTCTATTTGGACTTTCTGTGCTGTAATGACTACGTGGCCATTAGAATAATTTGTTAGTGATTTTAAGTAGCTTAGTGTAGAAATACACAGGTAATTGTTTATTAAAGATATAAAAAATATGAAGGCACTATTATCAGTTCCATTTTGCATTCCATATTCTGATTAGCTGAGATATTTGAGTTAAAATAATTTTGAAATTAGTTACACATAATTTGTTAGACATAGTGGTTTATTCCTCCAGTATGGTTTAAAGATTTTCTTGTACTCAAAGTGGTGTCATTTAGAGTATAAGAACAACTGACTTGCTGCCCTTCTAAATAACTGGAAAGAAATCACATTCCCATTGCAATTATTTAGTTGGGTTTTGTTTAGCTTTGTGTTTTTAATTTGCTGGGCTCCCAGCATAACTGCAAGATAATTTGAGATATTAAAAATAATCAGAATCCATGTTCTGCATAGATCCTAATGATTTTTGGAAGCCTGCATCAGTTTTTCCAAAATTTGAAACACATTTATATTTTTCATTCTGTTTACACCTGAGAAGGCTCAGGTAATGTCTGGTTCATAATGTGTGTACATTGTGACTTTTCAGGTGGCATGGTAAGGTTTTTTCGGGAGATGGTGGCTTTTTTGAGGACACATGAAATAAGAGCACACTTTTTATAGTCTTTCAATCTAGATACATAGAATCCAGGATATTAAGTGGCATAAAGTGACAACACATGAGAGGTTGTAATTTATAAATTTAAAAAAAAAAAAAAAAAAAAAAAAAGTGGATAGTAATCTTTTTGGCCTGAACTGCAGAACCTAATAAATATGATGCTTACTTTTTGTCCTTTAACTTAATTCATAGCTGAAAATGAACCTATTTTTAGCATTTCTACTGAATAAAGACTTGGATACTGATTGAGGCCATTTGAGTTCTTGTTTATGTAATGTATGGCTTAGTTCTGTTATTACCTTTCTTTAAAAAGTGAATGTAGTCATGCACCATAGTGTACTATCTGTTTGCTTGCACATAGCAGGGTCACTTTTGGTTTTGAAAAGAGTCCTTCTACTGATAACAGAATTTGTTAGAGAAACATTTTCCTTTCAAGGGTGCTTGGAGAACAGCATGTTCTCCATTTCTTTCTATACAAAGCTTTTTGTTAATTGTTTGGGTTTTTTTTGGAAAACAATTTAAAAAAAAAAAAGTCTGTCAACACTGTAAAAATTGTGTGCATCCTACAAAGGTGTTTAGATGAAATTTCTCTGTTTTTATGAAAGACAAGCTCTGCTGCAGTCCAGATTTGTGTAAGCTGGTAATGGTCTTGAACTATAAGATCTCTGTGGCCAGACCCTTGGTTTTATTTACTTTCTAACACAATCGGAAAGCTAGTTGGATTTGTTAGTTGTGTGCATTCTTACAGTACAGTACACTGGTAAATTTTTCTGGGTTTACAGCAGTACTTTTATAGGGCATTAAATCTCCATAAAGTTTTCTTCCTTGATTGGTTGAAAAAGGTGATGGCATTTAAAAATATAAATCGTGTAAACTCTAAATTGCAGTAGTTGAAAGAGGAAGATTTTTTTTAAACCAACACACATAAAATGCCTCACTTCTCATTTACTCAGCATTTTTCATATATTTCTGTGTGTTCAGAATGCTTGTTCAGCATTACTTTGCTTCTGTATGCAATTTTAAAATTCAAAATGTGCATTTCTAAATTTGAATGAAAGACACAGCAGAACTTTAAAAAACCCCCACACTTTGAGGCTGTCCTCATAAATCATAGAGAAAATAGGTACAACCATCTTTCCTGTTCCTTCTACAATCATTGTTAAAGATTGTTAAATCCATAATTCGGTGTTCTATTGTGGTATTAATCTTGATAAAATAATTTAGACCCAGTACACTGATAAATCTTGAGAAAAGCTTGAGAAATCTTGAGCTCTCATTAGAAAGCTCTTTTGATTTCATATTGAAGATAGTAGTCTTCTGAAGAAAGAGAAACATTAAAATGGAGTGATTGTTATGCACTGGAACTGGTATTGCTTGTACAGTTCAAGTCTGCTTTCTAGAAGGCAAAACTGATTGGGAGCAAATGAAAAACAAAGATAGCAAAAATATGAAAAGCAGTTTCTACTTCTGAGATTTACTCTGATCATACAGTATGTGGTCTTTACTGACTCTTGTGAGATCTGTCAGACTGTAGTGTTGTTGAACTGTTTTGTGTCTTAGATGTATCAAGAAAAGAGGAAGAAATGAAGTGGCAAACCTATGAAAAAAACAAACAGCAGAGGTGAAGTTAGGAACTCAGTTCTTCTGTTTCATTTAATAATTAGGATTAAGATAGAATTGTGCAGAGATGAGATAGTGTGTTGTTTGTTTAGAGGATTTTAGTGGGGTTTTGGTTAACTAATGATCCCTGTGATATCTTAATAGATTAGGTTCCAGAAGCTGGGAGAAGGAAGCAGGGAAATGAACAGCTATAACAATGTTGGTTTTCCATTTTGGTCATGTATTGTCCTCATGCAAATTCTATTTAACACTCAAAAGCTAGTAAAAGCTGCACTTCTGTGATTTTTCCTGTTGAGTAGGCCTAGCTACCAATATGGTGGTTTTGGCTTATTAATATCTAATTTTCTGTTAGGCTGTTTTTAGCAGGTTTGGTCTTAAGTCCAGTCCATGGTTTATGTACATGTGCTTTCTTCTTGTTCTTGTCCTCATCTGATTTCCACCCCTCTTCCCTCCTTCCCTCAATATTTTTATATAATTATCACAGTATATGGTTTTAGTTTGTACCATAATGTTGAAGCACATATTCCAGGCTCAATGTTTATTAATAGAGATTGTGTTCTGCTGCTAGAAATACTAGTAATTGGTACAGCAAAAGGCAGCCTTGTTTGAATAATGGTGATTTCTGCTGCCTTATGTCACACTGCATGCTCTTTTCATTGAAGGTCTTTGTCTTCCTTCAAATTTCTGAATGGTTAAAGCTGTTTATCGAAGTGAACTGTTTGCCACGTCTTTTATTCATGGGACACTGAGTAATTTGTAGGGAATTCTCACTAGAATAGTTCTTTTCGTAATTGTATTTTGAATATACACAGTGTAACTTTTGCTTATAAAAGGTGTGGCATACATTTAATGTATTTTTGTCTTCTTTTCCTGTTTCTAAGGCTGATAAAGAATTTGTGTGGTCTTTGTGGAAACATCTACAAGTGTCAAGTCCAGATCTTACTCAAGCTATCAGCTTGGTGGTGGAAAGGTGAGTTTCATTGATTTAACATGATGCTAAATCCAAACGCAAACAACCTCCCTCCCTGCTGATAACATATTATTTATCTTTTTTAATTGAGAACTATGTAGGATTTAAAAAATGTTACTGTCATAAACGAGTGAGCCACTCTCGTTTCAAAACATAAATTTTATTGAATTGAGCAAGCGGCAGCAGATAAAAAAAACAGTGCTGGGTGCGCCGGGGAGTCCCCGCTCCACGCAAGACGCACACCGGTCCCCTGGGAGGCTGTCCCTTATACCTCTCGATTTTGGCTTCAGCCAATCCCGTTTTCCCTTTTGCCCAGATATTTTGGCTTCAGCCAATCCCGTTATCTCTTTTGCCCAGATATTGACGTGGCTCCTTTCCATTGGTTCCTTTTTGTTGCTGGGGTTTCACCATCGAGAAGTTTCGAGAAGCTTCCAGAAGTTTCGAGGAGTTTCAAGAAGTTTCTCTCATTAGGCTAACCACTCCCTCAACCTCCATTCTTTATATGGTTATAAGCTTTACAACATTCTGCAACAAGATACCGAGTCGAACCACCCAGCCCCCCTTCCTTTTCCTTCTCTAAAAGGATTTATCCTACTTTAATAAAGCATACTTTTCATAATAGTACAATTGACTTTCCCTTTCCCTTCACAAAGAAAAAGATGTTTCACAAACAACAGTTACAAAGAGTTTCTTAAAGTATAACAAGCAACACTACCCCTCAAACCTTTTGATGAACAAACCTCACTTATCACAGTTACAAAAATTTCATTGTTAAATTTTGTCAGGAGTACCTAGAATATGTTCCAAGTTTCCATTTTTGGTGTAAGTTGAAGTATACTTCAAAATCCATCTCACTGTGGTTGCTGTGCTGCAGCTGAATTAAATTTTTAAATTATAAATGTATTGCATATTATGTTTTTCTACTGAAAGAGCAAGAGGAGGTAAATGACATTTTTTGGTGTCATAAATATTGCATAGCAATTACTTACATAAATGATTTTTATTTTCATTCTTAAGGAACTGCAAGGCTAAGACATGGTAACAGAAGAGATGACTATGCAGTTAAATTATTACTCCTCTGAGGATATTAATGATGATTTCCTCAAGGTACTTACATACTATCATCTGATTGCTATAAATTTTAGGTAATAATCACACTATGTGATTGATTAGAATGCTAACATTTACAAATCCAGAATTTTTGAGGGCCAGAGAGATGGAGAATGGGAATGAGCTGGTGATGTAACTGTCAGAATTCAAACATTTGATTGTCTTATGGTCAAAAGTTTCGTCTGTTCTGTCTCTCAGGGTGCCATGAGTTGCATTAAAAAAAAAAAAAATTTTTTTGGTTGTTGTTGGTTTTGTTTGGGTTTTTTTTGTTTTTTATTTTTTAATGGACTTTAACTTCTTTAAATGGCTTCTCAACATGACTTGAGGAGTTTGTCATAGAGCCAGGAGGCTCCTTTGGCTTGCTGTTCAGTGCTTTGATCTTGGAAGGCATGTTTTGTTTGTTGACATCTTTCCTTTCTGGTCTTGATCAGTAAACGTTCTTCCACTTCTGGAATCATTAAGCATTAAGTTCTTCAGCTTGGAGTGGATTCACTGTGGTATTGTCCCATCTTCTGCATAAAGCATAAAATGCTTTTAGGGCAAGAACTTGAAGGTGTAAGCACATGCAGCTTGTTTTAAGATTGATGTTGCCTGGGAATTCACATGTGTGCTCCAGTGATGATGTTAGGTAACTTCTGGTTCTGTAATGGGACACTGGCGTGCAGAGAGAAGTAACTTGCCTGTTAGGACAGTGTACTACTTTCACATTTCTTGCATGTTGTGATTTGGGAAGTAATTTTAGTATACAAGGGGGACATAAGAACAGATTAACAGCATCAATCATTTATGTTGAAATGCACATTCTTGCTGAATTGTTTCATGATAAAATTTGGTCATAATTTCATGAGTATAATTTCATTAATACTTATAGTAATGATTTTTTTTCTTCAAACATAAAAAATGCAGGAACTGATTAAAATATATAAATACAGTATTTAATTTATGTAAACATACATTACAAGTATATAAGCAGAAGTATGTTGAAAAACTTAAAAAATTGGTTTGCCTTAACCATGTTTTATAAATAGCTGAACAATATGGAAAATTTTTACTCTTTCACATGAAGCTTAATAGGGTAGAAACAGAGGTGTTCAGGCTCATTAACATTTTTTATTTGTGTTGCATATGAAAAATAATCAGGATATTAGGACAAATTGAAGCATAGAGATGTTAGAAAGTACGCATTTAAATAATGAATACAATTAATTATTTGGAGTTCTTGAATTGTATGCCTTTGTAAGATGACATTCTGTCATCTTTGTTTATCCTTCTTCCTGTTTAGGAATATTTTTATGCTTGGTAGTTATCCCTTGCTTTAAATTATTTTGTGCTTTATTTAGAACAGAAATTGGTAAATGTGTGTGCATTATCCTAATTGATACAAAGAACGTGGGGCTCTTGGATACCACCTTGATGCCTGCAAGCATGATAATGAGCTGAATTTTTTTATAGTGTTAGGAAATGTTTGTGAAACCCTTTTAATGTCATCTTCAGCCTATCAAAAGACTTGCTACAGAAATATGATGTATAATAATGGCCTATTATATATGAAGGTAAAAATGTATTCTGTATGTGCTTTGCACTTTGTGTAGATTGGTGATTGGTACTGTTACATGACAGTGTGTGTGACAACATACTTCTCTTAAGGTGCTTATCTAGTTTTCCATGCACTGTCTTTCAGAAGAGCACTAATGCCTTAGAACACCTCATGTGAACTCAAGGCTACGCATCTATATCATACTTCTCCAATGCTCAGAGTTGTGGCATAATGAAAGAACAAATTGCTTCTACAGCATATTTTCAGATGTTATCATTACACCAGAGAATCCTGGAATAGGTTTGGCTAAAATCCATTCAGTGTATAGGAGTTTTATTATAAGTCATGACTTTGAACTTTGGGGTTGCTTTGACTTGACACATGTATTTTTCTCTTTAATTGATGTAGCTTCATCTCTTTTGCCTGAGAATGGTCTAATTGCCTCTTTGGAAATAATTTCTAGCCCAGATTTACCTGTGAATCTTCTGAACAACCAAATTACAGCCCCGTATTTTCTTTCCTAACTTTTCCAGCTGTGACTTTCCATAATCTTTTCCTTAGTAGCTTCTGTTTCTTGACTGTACCTATTCACGCTCTCATCCTTTCAGAGAAGTTTTTGTCTTGCTGCCTACCTTATAGCAGGGTGGGTTTTTTGTTTGTTTGTTTTTTATCTGTAAAGATAAAAAACTATAAACAGACTATAAATAAACTGCATCAGATAAGAGTTAAAACCTGAAAATTTACACTGAAGTGTGATAAAAATCAGCTAAAGTCTTAGAGACTTTTTTTTGGTCTCATCTATATTAGGAACAACGTTGACCCAGTTATATCCAAATTGGTAACATTTTCCATCTTGCTCTGGCTTACTAGGAAATTTTGAGGTAGATACAAACAGAATGAAACAGATTTAAGCATTTTCTTGTTTCTGTTTGCGATGTGAATATCACCAATGCTTGTGTAGCTTCATTTTTCAGGCTGTTCTTTCCACCAAAAACTCCATAGAGAATTACGAGAAACCTTCAGTGCCCACCATGGCTTTGTTACAGACTTCCTGAGATCAGAAGCCAGCTGCCTAATGGAAGAAGATAGAATCTAAATGTGGTCATGTGTATCATAGATCATATGTATCATGAACCAAACAATATTGTCCAGTACATTTCAGTCTTTAAATTGATGAAAACAACAGCCAGACTTTCTTCAGGAGGTAACAGTGACAGCAATAAAAAGGTGCTGGTGTGAAAGGACAAAATGTTCATTTACAAGCTTGTATTCCATGAATGTGCGATGAAGAAAAAAGAAGAAATATATATTAAGAGAAATTGTGTAGACAGTACTAGCCATACAGTCAGGAAATTTATATTTGTAGCATTAGACAATTCCTTATGAATATCTTTTTCTCAAATAAACCAGGCAAATGTAGAAGGCATGATTTGGGGAAAATAAGGGGGAATTAATAGTAGGTTTCCATTATTTGTCTGCTATTTTAAAGTGCTTTCATGGTCCCAAAATAGAAGTTCGCCAGCCCTAAAATTGTAAAAATGTAGCTGGTACTGTTTTATGGCCGTGCGGTTGATTCCTGTAATACATCAATGATATTTTACTTTTCAGCAGGCTTTGCAGTTCTTGCTGGATAACTGTAACTATATTCCCATTTTAATATTCAGATATAAACAAAAAATTATCTTTGCTGTGCAAATGAGAAATGCCTCTGGGATATGTAAAAGCCTCCAGGTATTTTCAAACAAGCCACTGTAAAAGTACTACTCATGTTAGTATACTTTGCAGCTACTTTAAATACTATTGATCTCAGTATTATATAAAGAACATGCTATTTCTAGTTCACTGCTTTTGAAACAGGGTGGGTTTTTTGTTTTGTGTTTCTGTTTTTTTTTTTTGGTTTTGATTATGAGCTGAAAAAGAGTTAGAAAGTACCTTTTACAGGTAAATGCATGTGTAAACTCAGATAGAGTTGGAGTTCAGGTGAGTGTATCAAAGGTTTTGAAATATTTTTGTAAATTTTGAGAGCTCTTCTTTAAGACTTTTCTCTTACAATACATGGAATGTTGACAGGTCAGCTGACTCTTAATTTTCCTCTAGGGCTTCTAGATGACTCCTTCCCTTTCTTCTTGAAGGGAGATGTAGCAGGATTCATTAATGATCAAACTGTGGCAGTGATACCAGACTTGGAGATGTAAATGGAGATTATATTACACTAGATGATATCCTTGCAGATAGTTATATTTGGCAAGATTGCCTTATATAAATGTTATTCCACATCTAAATTCTAAGTGTGCTTTGTCTTGCAAGTCTTAGCAAAGAGCAAGAACAGATCATTTCAGGCCACTTTAAGAAA